TCCTGTGTGGCTTTTAATGGCTCCTAATGCATCAGGGTCCTTGTCCTAGTGATAAGGCTCTTAAACCTGGAATCTAGTTGTAGAGAGGGAGGAGTGATGAGCAAAGGGGTCAAGACCAGGCTGAGGAAACCCACAGAAACAGCTGACCTAAACAAGGGGGAATCGTGGTCTCCAGACCAGCATACGACTAATCCAGACCCCCTGAACATGTGTGTCAATTAGGAGGCCTGGACAGTCTATGGGGCCAATATTGTAGTGGAAAAGCATTTATACCTAGTGTACGAATGGACTTTGGGAGTCCATTCCCCATAGAGTGACACTCTCAGCCTAGACACACGGGGGAGGGCCTATGTTCTGCCCCAAATGATATGACAGACTTTGATGATCCCTCATGGATGGCTTCACCCTCTCTGGGGAGCAGAAGGGGGATGGGATGGGGAGTCAGTGGGGGGCATGAGAGGATGGGAGGGAGAGGAAACTTGGATTGATATGTAAAATAAGATTGTTTCTAATTTGAGGAAAATAAAAAAGAAAGGCATTGAATAACTTAGACACAGACTCTGGGAATTCTGTTGCTGCCAAAGAAGAGGATACAATTGTTACCAAAAAACAAACAAACAAACATAAAAACAAGAAAGTAACAACAACAACAAAAAACAAAAACCAGCTAGACCTGCCTTCTGGGTGATCATGAAGCTGAATTCTCAGAACTAGTAATCCAGTTTGAGTGATCAAGTGATCAGAGTTGAACTTGTTGATTTGGTGTAGAAGCTACTCACTAATCTGATTTATTGTTTTATTTTATTTTAGACCCAGCTACGGATTGACTCTTTTTTCAAATTAGCTCAACAGGAAAAACAAGATGCTAAACACATAAAAAGCCAAAGACTTAACAGAGCTGTGACATGTATGCTAAGGAAAGAAAGAGAAGAGGCAGCTAGTGAGCTGGAGAAAGAGACTGAGGCCCTGGATGAGGCAAAAGGGAAAACTCAAAAAAGAAGCCTGATGAGCCCACGAGAGACATCAGTCCCCAAAAGAAGGAGGGCTTCAGGAAGTGGTGGGTTTCTGGGGGACTCCCACCTCTCAGAATCACCTCGAGATTCAAGTGAGGATGCAGAAAGTTCATCTGTGGTGTGCACACCACGGGGAAGAACAGCTGAGTCCTCAACAGTCAGCTGCTCGGATTTGCCCGACGTAGTGAGAGATGCTCACAGGAGGGATGGTTATATGTCCACTAGCAGCTCCGGTGAGGATGACGGGGACAAAGCTAAGGCTGTCCTAGTGACTGCTAGACCTGTATTTGGGAAGAAAAAAGGGAAGCTAATGAGGAGAAGGAAAAGGAAAGACCAATTTAACAAGGTCATCAATTTGGAAGAACAATGTTTGCAATGAATATTGCATTGATTGAGAGCATAAGATTAAATCTATTTGTACAATCTTCCATTTTGAATGTGTAGTTTTTCTTTTATGGTTTCTAAAGTTTATTAAAAATCAAAGAACAGAAAAACCTTACATGAAAATGTGTGTCTTAGGGTCTATATTATTATCCACAAATGAAATTGAAACATGGTATGTTTTGGTCAAACTGTAGTGAACAGTTACAGCAGTGCCTGACCAATTCATCTGGTTCACCATTACAGGGATAGACATGTTCCTGTACCTGTGGATAGAACTTTAAAAATGCACATCTGCCGGTCACTCGGAACAGTCTCAGCATGGCTCCTTAATGCAGACACAGTCAATATTGCTAATGTGTAGAGAGTAGTACAGGCCTATGGGTCAGTGCTCATAAGTATTCCTTATTTTTTGACTTATTTTTATTTCATAAATATTTCTTAGTAATAGGTTCACAATTTAAATAGTTTAAATTCTCATGAACTGCAGATCCTGGGTGGTGCTCTGCTCTGGAGTGCCTCCCAGAATCAACTCCATGAAGACAGTGAGGGCAAAGTGTATGGTTTTAAAACATGGATGCTAAACTGAACAGTGTTTCAGTGTGCTACAATTTTTCTGGCATTTTCTACTTTCTCATGGTTTTTATTACCTTGGTATGTCTGAAGCTTTGAGACCACATCCAGGAAAAGGAAAGGATTTATATTGATGAGTGTTCTCTCAATATATATTCCCTCTGACTCAGACCTAGACAAGAAGAAAAATATTGTTACTTTTCAGTGCACAATCTGGCAGTTCTCTGCCTCCCACTGTTGTTCCAAGGCAGATAGCAGGAAAGAGCCTCATGCCTGGATCATGGAGGAACATTGTGTGATCTTAACAAGTTAATACTAAAAAATTTCAAGAGTGCTTTTTTTTACTTATGAAAATAAATTGTGTTTGAGACAGTAACAAAAGCAATTTATTATTTAAAAGAGATTGGTATATCTGTAGTTAGGATTATGGCCATCATATACTTTTTTTTCTTTAATATTTTACTGTTAAAGCAATTTGTTCAGTTCTTTACTTGTATTATCTTAAACACAGTTCTTTTAAAGTCTATGTCTGGGTTGCCTGTGAGGTCATGCTGTTGTGTAGTTTGCTTTGTAAACATTGGCAGCTGGATTGTCTCACAAGCTGGAAAAATTTTCCTGGCTGTCTGTGCAGAAGGTCTGTTGAGAGGAGAGGCCACAGCACTGAGGTGACTCTGCATGGGGGCAGGTCTGGTTTGCAGTCTTGCTAAGACTTGTGCATCTGTTTTCCCCTCATTCCTGGGAAATGGCCTCCACGAGAACCCACCAGAAGCTTGGGTGTTTCTCTTCTTATTTTTGCCTTTTATCTCCTTTTGCTTAGGTAATAAGTCATGAGTGTAAAATCAACCCATTTCTTTCTGGGATCCTGGGCTTTTAGTTCCTGGCTACTTGCCAGCCCCAAATAATTTCGTCTCTCCAGTTCTGTGAGGTTGGCCAGAATTGTCTGGGGGTACTTGTGTGTTGTCCTTTGTCTGGTTTCTCAAGCCTGTTTATTTCACCAGAGTAGGGTTTGATGTTTCTTACTGCTATGGTAAATGCTTAAAGGAAGCAGGAGGATGTATTTAATTTATTGGTATGTATGTTTGAGTTTTGTGAGTGCAGACGCCCACGAAGGCCATTAGAGGGCACTAGAACTGGAGATACATTTGGCTATGAGCCACCATGTGGGTACTGGGAACTAAACCCTGGTCATCTGCAAGACCAGTAACAGCTCTTAATTGCTGAGCTGTTTCTCCTGCTCCAGAAAGGATTGACTGTAATTTAATTCTGGTAGGTTAGACCTGGTGGCAAGAGTGCTCACATCTGGACTAGTAAGCAAGCTGGAATTCGGGTTGGACTGTAAAATTCAAGTTCTACCTCTCAGCAACCTACTTCCTCCAATGGGGACCCACCTCTTAAAGGTTCCACAGCTTCATCAAACAGATGGGGGAAGGGGTAAGTGTTCAAACATGAGTCTGTGAGAAAACATTACATATTCAAATTCCAACAACTAATAATCGGTAATTCTTAGAGTTCTTGACTGCTTTGAATGCTCTGTGATGTCATGAAACAGAAATGTGTGTGTGTGTGTGTGTTTTAACATTTGCTTTCCTAATAGAGACAGAATTCTTCTGTAAGACATAGCCAGAGGCATCAGTCTCCATGTGCTCTTCAGTGTAACCTGAAAGAGGTAAATAATTTTTATCAAGTCATTACTCATTCTTGTTTGAAACAAAGATAAAAGGGGTATGTGTTCTCTGTCAAAAAATTAACTGCTTTTGTATAGCAGTTTGAATTCTTTAGAGTTTTGGAATTCCAGGAATGTTTTACCTATGATATTTATTTTGTAAGTATATACCATGTACTTTTTTTTTAAAAAAAGATTTTATTTATTATGTATACAGACAGTTATCTGCATGCATGCTTGCACTCCAGAAGAAGGCACCAGATCTCATTATAGATGGTTGTGAGCCATCATGTGGTTGCTGGGAATTGAACTCAGATCCTCTGGAAGAAGAGCTAGTGTTCTTAACCTCTGAGCCATCTCTCCAGCCCACCATGTACTTTTTATATTCCTATTTTATAAATGAGATAAGCTAAGAAATACAGTAAGTCAATGGCTCTAAGTCATAAGCAATTATTGACATGAATAATGAAAACTGGACTTTGTGATGCCTAGACCTGTCCTGTATGTGAAATCACCTCAGTTAAGCTCTGTGTGTACATTGTGGTATAAAGATATTTCTTAGAAGTTGTACTCAAATTCTTGAGTGAGCAGCCTTGCTTGGCTTTGATTCCTCCTGCAACATTGATGCTAGTAAAAAGGAATTTATGTGTGCCCTGAGGTACATGCCTATATGCTGGTGTGTGCACAGAGACCCATATCCCAACCTGCTTGTTCAGCCTCCGTTAGAAGAAATAGTGGTCATTTGATTCTGGGTACAGAACAATGCTACACATATGGCTGGTGTAGTTATTGGATTCTAAAAACGTGTTCACACCCAGATAGGTGACATAAAAATGCATGGTCTCTATTTCATAGGATATCATAGCCACAGAGTCTTAGAATAGTTCTTGGCATCAGATTTGAAATCTTAGTTTGCTTCCTCTTGTGTAGCCTGCATCTTCACTGCAGGAGTAGAGTGTATTTATAATCTCCAGCTGTGTTCCCAGGCAGTCATGGAACATTTCTACAGCTCTTCAGTCTTTACTTTCTGGGCTTTGCAATATCACTGTTGTGCAACCAGAGACATAGAAGCTGCAGCTGTTGAACCCTAATCCTGTCTGCTTCAACTTGTTGCCAGGGTATACAGTAGTGAACTACGAGCTCTGGAGACAGCCTTGCAGGCATTACCAGAAGCTTCAGCAGTAAATCACAGGTTGTGGATGGTACTATTTCACCTTCTGTAAACTCAGCTAACACTTTTAGGTATGTCCAGCCTTAACATTGACCAAGTACTCATCTCCAGGCAGACAGGTATAAAAAAGAGTGCTTTCCTTAGTGAGAGAAATGAAAAACTGGGCAGGGGGCGGGGTGGGGGGGAGAGGCCTGTCTTGCTCTTCTTTTAGCTTCGTGATTATGATTTTATTTAACTTTGGTTTTTATTGTGTATTAACTGTAAGGAAATAATTTGGCTTCTAACTTACAGGGGCATGCTACATAGAAAAAGATGGTAACTAGGAAGAGTACATGGGATCTTTGGAAGAAAGGAGTGTTATATTAATTTATGGAAGTACTGGGGTTATTTGTTATGTTAAGTAAAACTGAGAAGATACAGCTCATTGTTTTCAGAGATTAACAGCTCATTTAAGCCTATTCCAATTACTTGCTCTAAATGATTAGCATACAATACTTGAACTTACAAACCTTTGCTGTGGTGATATGGACTCATAAAGGTAGAAGCTACCAAAACACCACCTGGTGGTTCAGTTAGTTGATATTCTAATTTGCTAATGTCACATTGGTGGGAATAAGTAAATTATATTCTCATTGATAGAAAGATTTATTTTCAGGTAATGTCATAGTTTACACTGTATTGAACCAAACTATTTCTTTCCAGTGTTGAAAATACTTACTTAGAACTGATTTCTTTCTAGTAATATGGCAATTATATCTTTCCTTGTGATGTCTGAGGTCATCTCTGCTAAGAATAATGCTCTTTTTCTCTAACAGTTTTTAGTTTCTGACCATGAAGCCATTGCTCTGATTCTGACAGATACTAAGTAGAGTTTATGACATTTCTTAAAATGTGCTTTAGTATATAATATTTTACTATACATTTCTCAGCTATATCAGAATTTAGACTGCTAGGTAAGTATAAGCATACTTACCACACATTTTGAATCAATTACTGGCATTTGATATTTTAGTGAATTATGTGCTTATTGTTCAACAAATGATCAAGAAAACATCAACATAACACTATTCATTAATCCTGCAGCTGATGGATCCAGAAACTCAAAAAGGTAATTTTGTTTCTTCTTTTAATTTGACCAATTCTGTGTAGAGAAACCATTAACGGAGTCTAAAACCTTACTTTTTTAGTCTTCATTAATACCTTAATGGGAACTAGGGCTTATTAATTGCTTATTTTATCTTGGCTTGTGTTTACTAACCTAAAAATACCTTCAGTAATGTTCAATTAGTACTATTAAATACCAGTGGTCCTGGCATATTAGGAATAACTTTGACTGAAAATAATAAATTAATCTGTAGAAAACATAAAAAGATTATTTATAATTTTTCTTTGATCTGCAAAAATTGACATTTTAAAACAGATTCTATACACCAAGCACATTGTTGTGATTTTTTTAAAGTCTTTTTTTTTTAAAAAAAAACTAAACATTTTAATGATGTTTGGATGCAAGATAAATTTAGGCTACAGAGTATCTCTAACATGTATTTATTATGACTATTCATTTGAGGCAACAAATAATAGCATAATTGGCTTCTAGATGTAAGAATTTAAATTTGAGTATTTGAAACTGGCATACCATTTTTACAGTCTTGCATTTGACTTATGGCTTTGTGTAGGTTACTAAATATAATGATCTTCATTGAGATAAAAAGTACTAATTCTTACATAGACTAGAAAAATTGCCATGTTTTGTGGAGTGGTTTTAAACACAGATCAAATTATCTTTGATTTTCTTTCTGTCCCTCTTATCTATACATACTGTGGATGTTTTCAAATAACCATAGACCTGTTTCTTGGGCCACACCAAGTGTAATAGGTGGCTCCTACTTAGGAGAGCAAAGCTGCAGGCAGACAGACTTGGGTGCAAGCCTAGAGCTGGCAGCCTACCCAGCTTAAATGCCAATGCTTTGTAAACCTAAAGGTGTAAGTTGTAATCTCATAGAGAACCCAGCCCTTCAGATAATTTGAATGCAGATGTAATTTCTGTTTTATGAATAGAATTATGCCATTTCCATAGCCATTAATAACAACAATTCTTGGTTTCAAATGTACACACGATGATTTGGCAAATCACCTGAAGTGGAAGTAGTTCAAGATGAGTTTGAGACAGAGCAAGTGTTAGAATATTTTACAGTAGGAGCAGACACACCCTATAATCATCTATATAGCTAACTAAAAATGTCGAAGTATGTTTAGATGCAGAGTGCTAAGGAGATAAAGTGTGTGCTGCTGTAGCCAAGCCAGCTGACGTTTCATTGGCAAGCCTTCTTCCAAGTGGAGGAACACTAGGTTCCCAAGTACTGAAGGATGTTTATCTGCCCTGTCCTTTTATACTTAGCATTGTGGGCTTGGAAGAGATGGAGTAAGACCATAATTCAGTCCTCATATTTCAGTACTTGAAGGAAGATCTTAGAATTAAAAGATGCTACTTATTTATGCACAGATCGAAACTAGTACTAGGATGAGAGCTAAAAATTCTTCCCTATGTGTGTCTAGTGCTACACTGTAATCTAACTTCTCTAAAGCTTCATTTATCTTAATTACTCTAAATATATGGTGTTGCCTGCCCCATGCCATAGTCCCTGGAGCTGCTAGTGCAGGCAGCAGAGTGTAGTAAGATGGCAGCTTCTGAGAATCTTTAGCTGTGGAGCAGACTCTGCCTCTCCATCCAATGTTCCATGATCCCAGTGCACAGTGATCCCCAAACCTGTTGCTATGGATTTATTTAGGATAAATACTTTCGGTGGGGGATGAAGGAAGGAACAGAAATAGAGAAAGCTTTCAGATCACACCATACGTGGTCACGTGTGAGAGTAGAAGGAGATAGAGGGTAGAAAGACCTGTCAACTGTGTCAACTGCAATATAGATGAAACAAAGACTCAAGTGGGTTGATAAAGAATTCCTAGTTGACAGCTAGAGAAGGCAAGAAGAATCTGAATGAAGGTAGCAGCCATAGTGGAGAAGCCAACTGGGAAGCTGTGCTTTGAAATGGTGTGTGACACTGGTTGGAAATGGTAATTGGCATTGAATAATGACATCCAAACCTGAGTTTTGGAGACATCTGAAGTGGAATGGATTGGTAAATTTAAGTTCTTTTATTTGACATGTGGGTTTATTTAACATATATTTTATTCAGTTTTTTTTTAAACCTTCGATATATGTTAATGGGTGATTATCATGGTATCATTATATGTTTCCAGCTAGTACAGCAAATAGATTTCCCTAGACTGCAGCACAGCACCCAAGCCTGATCTCAACATTAGTCCTCAGGCCAATGTTTTTTTGTTTGTTTGCTTGTTTTGTTTTTCTGTGTAGCTTTGGAGCCTATCCTGACACTCGCTTTGGAGACCAGGCTGGCCTCGAACTCACAGAGATCTGCCTGCCTCTGCCTCCCAAGTGCTGGGGTTAAAGGCTTGCACCACCAACGCCCGGCTCTTCAGGCCAATCTTGTACAAGGATTCTCTGAGTGCAATGTCACTTTCTTTAGGATGCTGCTTTTGATTTCACCCAACACACTGGGGTACAACAGGGTACTTCATAGATGTCTTTTTTGTAGTGATTATCAAATTCCATTTATTTAGTGTCTTTCCCTTTTTCATCCAGGTATCAATTTCTCAGTGCAACAATTTCCATTCTTTTTTTGTTTTCCACTTGCATCTTGAATAATCCCAATAAGAAGACTTTTTTCTTCTTTAAAAATATAAAATATAGTATTATTTGGACTATTTGATTGAAACTAAGCAGGCCAACAAACTGGAAATATTTGGGGAATCTTCTCAGGAGGCAGTTTCAGAAGAAGAAAAAAACTCAAGATTTTGATCTGCCCAAGTGTTCAGAATCATATCTTTTATGCTATCCTGTGACAATTTAAAAATCTAGAAATACCTTTAACACCTTTTCAAAAAATATGCACGTATTCCTCAAAAGCATATATTGTTCTTTGAATAGAAGATTCAGTTGAATGACAGTCTTTTTTATTTAGTGGGGTGGTTTGTACTTTAAGTTTTGCTGACAGATTCTTATGACAGCCCTCAAATGGAAGCTGGATTTCACTTGTCATATTTATTACAGTCAGTTTTTCTCTCTGTGTGTCTGTGTGTCTATGTGTCTGTCTATCTCTTTCTGTATGTATATTTCTTTGCTGTGACCCTTTCACATTTCATTTTTCCTATTGACCTTAAAGATAGAAAAGAGAATGTAGACAGACCTTTGCTTCTGAAGGCTGCAGTTCAGCAACAGAGATAATTAACTGCTGAATTCTTCTTAAGAGAAGCATCATTGAAATGTGGCAGAATTTTGCTAATTTTCACTTCACCCTTTTGTTCTTATGAGAACAAGAGTACCTGATAGATTTTTAAATCCCTGTCAGCAAATATTAATAGCTGAAAAATGGCACTGACTATTTTGTATGAAAAAGTTTTAAAATAGATAACCCTAGGATAACAACATAATTGTAAAACAGTTTCTTCAGTTTTTAAAATGATTTGCCATTCTGGCTAGCCAGCATTCCCTCCACTGTCTCTGCTTCTTGAGCACTGAGATTGCATGTGGACCACCATGCTTGTGTTTATGTGGTCCTCATGCTTTTGGAGCATGCACTTTATCCACTGTGCTATCTCCCTAGCCTGTATTTTAAATTGCCACATATGATGGCTAGAACTGTCCTCTTTTAGAGTCTTTAAGCAATCAATAGTGGTTATAGGTGTTTATTACAAACTCTCTTTGAGGGTCTTTATCTTGGAAGCTTAATTTTCAATTATAATAGAACATTCATATGTGTTGACATTTCATTTCCTTATGGAAGTAAAGTTGTTGTTGATATATATATATATGTGTGTGTGTGTGTGTGTGTGTGTGTGTGTGTGTGTGTGTGTGTGTAACGATCTACTCTGTTCAGAAAGACAAAGTGAAAAGTCAGAGACACATTGGCTGTCACCCACTTATTAGACAACAGCACTAAATGTGGTCAACCTTCAAAATAACAATAACATGCAAAATCAGATACATCAGATTATCTGATGTATCTGATTATATTATCAGATATATTATCAGAATATCTACCAGCAAATATTCACCAGTAAAACTTTTATATCAAAGACTGGATCTCTTAGAGACTCTCCTGGGGTTTGGTGTGCTTTAACATCTACTGATCCCTGGTGCTTTAGGTGACTTGTCAAAGGAGTGATACCTTTATGAGGTATAGGCAAGGATGCTTAAGAGGAGCAATTCAGTTAAAGGTCAAGGAAGGAAGCAATTAATGTCTCTGCTTTTTCCTAAAGAATTTCTACAGCAAATGTTGACACTGTCGCCCTGTCAGTCTCAGCAAACAAACCAAGTGCATGTAGTGAGATGAAAGTTAAAGTTCAAATAAAACATATTTCTATCATTATTTGGTTCCTGACTGTAAATGCTTATGGCTGCTTAAGGGGAGTTTCAGATAAATTTATTGAAGAACACTGCTCTTGCGGAAGAATACCCATTGTTCGTCTTTCTGCTTTCTCTGCCTCTCTGAGTGTCAGTGTTTGTGGAAGGAAGAGAGTGGAGTGGTAGATGTTATGATGCTATCCCTAGTACCAAAATAACAACAAAGACACATAACTATAAGTAGCATGGGTATATTGTTGAGTAGACTTAAGTATCTTTGTCTTTCTGAATAACCAGAAAGTCATAAATAACCAGAGGTCATAAAATTTAGGTTACTGTACATTACCAAGACACCTGGAGTTGTACTGTGAAGTTGCTGTAGAATTAAGATCTTATACTCCCACTAACATTTCTTTTAATCCAGTTGAACCCAATGATGGCCCTCAAAACATGTTTTAAAAAAACCATATTATTTTGTGCTTCATTTAGTGTTGCAGAAATAGATGGTGGTGGTATCAACTTCGGTAAACATCAAAGAGATGATGAGGGCCTGACATATGAAGAGTTGGGTTAAATTATGAAACACTTGTTCCTTTTTTTTAAAATTGAGGGTAGGAGTGATATGGGCATGCCACAGTCTACGTGTGGAATGTGTGAAGGTCAAAGGACAACTTGGAGGAGTAGGCTCTTTCCTTCTAGCATATGGGTTCTAGAGACTGAATTTAGGTACTCATTTTGGTAGCAAGCTCCTTTACCCACTGAGCCATCATGTTGTCCCCATGAAGTATTTTTAAATAGTTTGCTAGTTTATTTCATCTAAAGCCATTGAGTATTCAACAATACCTTGAACTGGGAGACGGGCTGTATTTCCAACAGGTTTTTCTTTTTGTAGGACTTAAAAATATTATTTCTATTATTTTCTGTAATCATGCAAAATAATGGGTTCTTTTATAACATTTTCATGCCTACACAGTATTCTACTCATAGCCTCCCACATCACCTTTCCCAGGCTCCCTTCTCTGCACTTTCCTTTCATATCCCCAAGAAGTCCCACATCTATATTTTAAAATCTAGATTCCACATATAAAACATAAATATTTGCCTTTCTTTTGATTCTTCTTTTCCTCTCCTGTTAGTCCTTCTCCTTACACACAGTCACCCTTCTACTTTCTTATCTAACAATCTAGGAAAATCTTGATTAAATCTTAAATCTAGATGTGTCATTTGAGGAAAACCATGTATTATTTACCTTGTGGGTCTGGCTTATTTCATTTAGCAGGATTAAAACCACTGCTGTTTTGTTTGTTTGTTTGTGTTGTTTTTGTTTTTTCCTTTCAGAGATCAGAGAAGGTGATGATGACAGGCAGGTGGTCGCAGAAATCATGGCAAGAAGTTTTATTCCAACTCTGATAACGACTATTTCTTGGGAAGGCTTTCACTTTGCTGGTCATGAGATTCGGATTACTGAAGCCAAAGATTGTTATGGTGCTGTTGTATGGCCATCGGTATAATTTCTTAAAAATTTGCTGTACCCAGTTACTTCCTAGTTTTAGAATGTTATAGCCTACTTGGAAGAAGGAAACAGGTTGTAAGATTCTATTTTGTGATCTCAGACATCACTAAAATTTAGACATTATGCAATGGGAAATTGCTTCTAACATTTGCATTTGCTTCTGACTTTATTGACATTTGTAGGCTAAATAAAGATGTGGATGCCTTCAGTTTTATGACTATGAGAGATTAAAAGAATAGATGTTTTCATTTCCCATTTTATTGGATCTGTTTGAGTTAAGTAAACATAAAGGATGTTTATTTGAGACTCACAAGCAGGATATTCTCAAAGGCCCTCATTCCTTTACCAGTTATTTCATGAAGGGTGCAGACTACCAGCATTCCCCACCCCAACCTCACACTTTTCTTGGAATCATCTGGTATTGTTGGAAGTTTGAAGAAAGTCAAATTTAAACAACCACACTGTATTTTCACTCATTTCTGTCTTCCTTCTCAGCAAGGACTTTTTCTAGCTTATCAGAGGGTGTACCTCTGATGATAATTTTCTGGAATGATGCATATGAACATCACAAATTTACTCCTACCAGATGTGCACACATGCAGATCATAATATCTATGGCACATCTACTTAATAGGGTTTAATTTCACTAATAATACTTTAAACACCCCTTTCTTCCAATTCCATAGGCCCTTGTTCTATGCTATTTCTTGGAAACACATGCCAAGCAATATAACATGGTTGATAAAAATGTGATTGAAATTGGAGCTGGGACAGGGCTTGTCTCCATTGTGGCGAGTTTACTTGGTAAGTAGGTATTTTTTATTGAATGGAGTTGGCCAGGAAACTAATGATCAAATATCACCAGTTACTTTTGCTTTCTATTGTATTATGATCTGTACTTATGTGTAACTCCTTAATTGTTTTTCTTTTAAGATTTATTTATTTGTTTTATGTAGCTGAGTGCTCTATGTGCATGTATGACTTTATGCCAGAAGAACATTAGATCCCATTATCAGTGGTTGTTGGGAATTAAACTCAGGTTCTCTGGAAAAGCAGCCAGTGCTCTTAACTGCTAAGCCATCTCTCCAGCCCCTCCTTAATTGTTAAAAGCAGATTTGTCAAGAAACTCTACCAGTGTTAACGTCTCTTTGCAGGTTTCTTTCCAGATTTTTCTGTGTAAATAGTTTTAAATCTTTTTGTGGAATGAGAGCTCACAAGCCTAGATAGGGGGTGAAATTAGTCATCCTGCTAGATTCCTTTTGGGGCTTTGGGGGTTTTACTTTGATGAACCTGTTAAAATATGGAAGGAGTATTAGAGATCACATGAAACTTACACCTCAGCTTTGATTTTTTAGGGGTTTTTCCTTGGATTTGTTTTTTCATTTCCATTCTCATTGGTCCTACATGAAAGGCTCAGCATTTTTTCTTTCTGACCCTTGATGATTATGTTTTTTAGGGGCTTGGAGAAAAATAAAAGTGCAAATCAACTTTTTTTTTTAGGATTGGAAGAATCAGGTCATTTCTTAATACCATGATATAGGTATCTCCCTTCAGATGCCTTACACATTTCAAGAGGAGACTGACTGTACAATCTTCTATTTTCTGCACAGGATAAATCCTGTGCTTCAGCCAACATTTGATATATAGAATACCATATATCAAGACAAAGAATATCAGAATATTTCACTTTGTTCACTTATGTATCTCTTCATATGTCTTTGCATCGGTGTCTCTAATAGCCACAGTTCTTTGTATGTCATCCAGTATCATATTCCAATGGTATTTATTAGTAGGTGATCTGCCCATAAGTCCTGGGGCATTTCTCCACCTAGATTTGCTTATCTAGATTACACCGGTGAAATCTAGTAGCTTCTTTGTGGTTCTTGTCTTAGATAGTCCTGTTACTGTGATAAAACCAGGACCAAAATCCACATGGGGAGGGAAGGGTTTATTTCATCTACAACTCTTGGGTCACATTTTATCACTGAGGGAAGAAAAGATAGGAACTCCAGGCAGGGAACTAGAGTCAGGAGCTGATGCAGAGGCCATGGAGGAGTGTTGCTTATTGGCTTGGTTGTCATAGTTTGCTCAACCTGCTTTCTTCTACAACTCAGGACCACTTTCTCAATCTTCAGTGAGCTGGGCCCTCCTACATCAGTCATTAATCCATAAAATGCCACAGACTTGACCACAGGACAGTTTGATGAAAACATCTGTGTCACGCTGACAGAGAACTAGCCAGCATGGTATTGGTAGTTTGTTACTGGTCTGTTTTTCATCAAGTTTCAAAGCATGCAGAGGCCTGGGACTCTTTGGAAAGTACCTGTTTAGCCTTCATCATTGACCTTGGATCATTGCAATGAGATGTTCTTCTTGGGGTCATTTTTCTCCTAAATGGAGAACAACAGTGATGAGCTAGACAAAAACAAAGGGGGTCAATTGGATACAGAAATACTACAAGATTCTGTTTTCTTCTTCTTCTTCTTCTTCTTCTTTTTTTTTTAAAGAGGGGCAGAAAAGTATATTAGTGCCCATTCTGAAAAGCACTGTCCTTCTGTATGTGCTGCCCAGTCTTTTCTTTGGGTCTAGCAGTTGTGAAGAATCTCAGAGTGCATGTTAGTTGAAACCTGACTGACTGACCTTATTCCAGAGGGTCACTTTTCCTACCATTCTTTTTTCATAGGTGCTCGAGTGACTGCTACAGACTTACCTGAATTACTTGGAAACCTGCAATATAATATTTCCAGAAACACCAAAATGAAATGCAAGCATTTGCCTCAGGTTAAGGAACTATCCTGGGGAGTAGCATTGGACAGGGACTTTCCCAGGTCTTCCAATAACTTTGACTTCATCCTGGCAGCAGATGTTGTCTATGCCCATCCTTTCCTGGAGGAACTTCTCATGACCTTTGACCATCTCTGCAGAGAAACTACCATCATCCTCTGGGCCATGAGATTCAGGCTGGAGAAAGAAAATAAATTTGTGGATAGATTTAAGGAACTGTTTGACCTGGAGGAAATTTCTAGCTACCCTAGCCTGAATATTAAGTTGTACAAAGCTATGAAGAAAAATCGGAGGAGTGCATAGTGCACGATTTCTGTAAATTAGGACAATGGCATGTGAAGGTAGTTTCTAGTAGATCATTACTTTAAAGAAAACACACACACACACACACACACACACACCACTGTAAGAATAAAAGTTAACTATAAACTTGCCTTATTATAGGCAAGGATTTTTACACACACACCACACACACACACACACACACACACACACACACACAGGCTACATTTGTAGGATTAAGATATTTTGTTCCCAAGTCTGTTTGCTCAGCATGATAATTACATGGTAACAAACTTTCAGTAACATCATGCTGTGTCATCATTGCAAAACTAATTTTCAATAATGGTATCTCTAACTGAATGTTATTAATTTTATTTCTTTTTGAGAATGTATCTTAGGTTGTCCTTGTACTAGAGATCTTACCTCAGCCTCTAAAGTGCTAGCACTCCAGGTGTGTACCACACACACACCCACAGTGTTAATCCTTTTAAATATCGGGTTAAATGATTATATCTTTAGCCATCAAGAAACTGACTATAGTGTGATTTGCAAATAAATTGAAAAAGGCAGATATATGATGTAATAATGGTCAGTGCTAGATGTCTGTGATTCCTACCAGTGGCAGCTTAGAGGTGGGTGGGTGTCATTTCTGCTTGGCAGCTTGGACCTCTAGCATAACAACTGAATTAACAAGCACGTGGAATATTTCCCTCTAACAGATAAAAAATATGAATGGAAAGAGCATAAGAATATCCAAGATTATTGCTTGTTTTTGTAAGCCAAATAAAACTTATTTTTTCATTGAAATGGAAGTAATTATAAGAATTTTGGGTTAGAAATGCATAAAAAGGTTTAGGTTACTCCTCTTGAATAAGTAGATATGGTTTAAACAGATATATCTAGATATATCAGACTTTTTTATGTGGCTCTTAGAGATTACAATAAACTTTAAAGCAATTAAAGTCAGTGTGGGAAGAGTAAAGAATTAGGCCTCTATGCCATGTGACTGCCTGGACTGTGTTGTTGGCAAAGCACTGCAGTGTCCTCAGCTAGGCTGTCATGTGGCCTTGGTGATAATTCTCCTCCAGGGTCATCTCTTTCTTCGTGGCTGAACATTGTCGTGGTCAAACACATCTGTGATTATCTGGGCCTGCACTGTAAGTTAGAATGCAGGTACACACAGTAGAACTCTCGATGCATGGGTTTTTTTAGATGTGCACATCTAAAAAAAATGTTGAGATGTGCACATCTCAACAGTTTTCTGTTTGCATGCATATTTGTCCTTCTCAGCTTTATTTAGTGTTCAGCCTGCACAGGACAGTGATATCATTATTCTCACTTCATAGATAAGAACAAAGGCCCAGGTTACACAGCTGTGGAGTGAAAGATAGAGACAGTCACACAGTCTGTTTGAGCACAGAATCTGAATTTATAATTTCAGTACTGTCTTTAGGTATTAAAAAAATTAATGTTTAAACACATCGAACAACAGAGGTCAGTTCTTCGGAATAGAGACTCAGAAAGAATAACAAATACATTTAAAAATGAAACCTATTCCTCTTAATACTGTCCCTAGATTTTCTACCCATAGAGGAGACATCACAGAAGGCTGTGGTGGTGTGCACTTCTGGAAGGGGTGCCTTAGGCAGGAGGAGCAGCCATGCAGGGACCTCCAGGCAGAGCATGCCTATCTGCTTGAAGAAACATCAACGTGGTGTGGTAGAGGAGCAGAGACTGGTGAGATCTGAAGGAAGACACACCAGGAAGTAGATGATGGAGGTCCTGTGCTATGGGCTAGGATCTCCAGATAGAGGTCTGAGAGAGAACATGATGTGTAGTCATTAGGCTGTGCAGCCACTGGTTACACTGTGGTCACTGGTTAAGCTGATTGGGTGTGATGGACAATTGATGAAGAGCAAAAGGCCAGTCTCAGCTGCCCCACTCAGTGCTAGACTTTGAAAGGCCAGTTTCAGGGTATTTCTAATTAGAGTAGGGCATTTGGGTCTTTACATGTTTCTGTATATGTCGTGGGAACACTGTTTTGCAGATGGTGATGGTTGTGATGTCTGCCTGCGGCATTTACAACTGTGTTGTGATAAAGTCATTCTGAAGTTATCTGAGCAGCTCATTACTGTGTTCACCACATCGTTTCAGGCTCCTTCCTGCTGAAATAGAGAGCCACTGGATGACTCCAAGTAAAGGACTAGAATAACATTATGGCCTGCAAAGACTTCTTGGCCTGGGTTCTGAGAATGGGATCTCAAAGTCCAGAGACCAGCTGGGAGTTGTGGCATCCATCCAAGCAAAGGATAGCAAGAAATCTACAAGGGGGAGTGTGTGTGAGATCAGCTGATCTGGCTGTACTCGGAAGCCAGAGGCAGCAGTGTTCTACCAGGTGGACTGTGGAATGTGAGCAAGTAAGCTGGGCTAACTGTGAAATATCCCTGTGAGCTTCGGGCTATGAACTTAGCTTTCAGTTCAGAGAAGGCTTATGAAGGTGCTTCCCAGAGCAAGAGGGAATAAAACGACTGAGCCCTGAGGCTCACCAGCATTAGGGAGCAGACAGACATTTTCAGAGCTTTTTGGAGGCTATGTACCTTCCTCAGTTGTAGCTGTATATGTGGACCCTGAAAAAAATTATGAGTTTAATGGCACAGTCTTCAAGAAACTGTCACTGGGCTTGCTAATTTCTAAAAGTCACCTCAGAGGAATCTAAAGGTATGAATATCACAGGTCTGGCAGCAAAGATCTTCGTGTAATAAATTGGGGAGAAAAAAAACCAACCCAAATTGACTCTTGTTAAAACTGTGTCTGAAGTAATTTTGAGTGGGGATGATATAATGTCCTCTCAAAGACTGGTAAGACCAAACCAACCATTTAGTTCCTTAAAGTTTTTCTTTTTCAAACACATCTATACACATCATCTTATTCTGTTTATAGATTTCACTTGAGAATTCGACCACCACCCTCTTCTATGGTGCCTCTGTCCTATTTCACTTTGTGTTTTGTCTAGTCTTCCTTTTTTTTTTTTTTCCTGCAGCTTCTCCATGCTTTAGTTTTGGAGTAATTCAGTTTCAAATGATGCAATTTGTATAGGCCTTTTCTATCTCACAATTCTTGTTTTAAAAATGTGTAGGAATCCATTTGTTGACTTCAACCTGAACAACTCATGTTGTGAAATTTGAGACAAGTAAGACTATGTCTTTAATGATATAATCTTTTCAGTAACTCATTGGATTTCTAGTTAAATAGAGGGGTAGCTGTCAAGGTTTTTGTTTGGATTGTTGCAGAATAATTGTTTCAGAGATGACAAACTGACCTGTAAGTAATGTTCTTCGACAATTTAAAATGATACATTGATAACCATGAAACTTCCCAGACAGCTTTAAATATGAAATCCTGTTGTGAGGATGCCATAGCTTCAGAGGCCATGCCTAACTGGTTTTAAGCAGTTACATTTACATGTAAACAGTTCGTTTCCAAAGGGTATTTGGAAATGAAACATAACCTCTGGGTAGGATTTTGATACAAAAAAGATTTTTGTGTAATAGCTTTGAAAGTAAACCAGGACCTCTGGGTTCTAAGTAGAAAAGAATGAAACATTGTCTACTTTAAGCAAATCAGAAGCTGGGCTGTGGTGGCGCATGTCTTTGAGCCCAGCACTCAGGAGGCAGAGGCAGGCAGATCTCTGTGAGTTTGAGGCCAGATTGGTCTACAGATCGAATTCCAGGATAGCCAAAGCTGCACAGAGAAACCCTGTCTTGAAAAAAAATTAAGCAAATTAGACAAGTGAGCTTAAAGTTGTTCATATGAGAGGAGATGAGTGTTGTCCAGTGTGTACATTTTAAATCAAATTATAAGGCAACAAAATCACTGTGAGAGCTGATAAATACATCTCTAGAAGTGTAGGTGGGATACAGACAACAGAAATTTTAAAAACTTTAGACACGTGTGTGTGTGTGTGTGTGTGTGTGTGTGTGTGTGTGTGTGCATATGTGGTCTCAGTTCTTCATATGTTCTTTTTCAAAACCTGGAAGTTGATCACATATGCGCTCCATACCCAGGGTTGGTATCTAAGTTTGTACTGTGAAATTAAGTCGAGCAGACTACCTACAAGCCTTGGGTCAACATTTACTGTAAGTCCTACACAAAAGCAAAGAGTATTCTGTAGAATGGTGGTATTGGTGGGACAGGTTGTATTAGATGGCCTTCAAATTGATTCATTCTAGGGCCATATTAACTCTATCATTAAGGGTTCCTGGACTGCGTTTTAGGATTTACTTGGATGGTGTGTAGCTGTGTAGTTTCAGATCACCAAGCATTTGCAATTGACTACTTATTCTATTAAACTCACCCTTGGCCTCTGTTATACACACTTTTTAATTGGGTACACTTAAAGGTGGGGATTCCCTCCTCACACCCCCCTCAATCTTCTCAATTTCTTTATTTCTAAGGAAGTTCTCTTTCTTCTCCAATCAAGCTTCACAATTACATTGATCATCAAGGGATATAAATTTTTTTTTATTAATTCAAATTAGGAACAAGCTTGTTTCACATATCAATCTCTCCTCCCTCTCCCTCCCCTCCCCTCCACTCCTCCTCCCTCACCCTCTCCCTACCACCCCACCCCATCCACCCTCCACTCCCCAGGCAGGGTAGGACCCTCGACAAACAACACAAAATATCTTGGGGTAAGGCTAACTGAACAATTCCAGAAAATGGAAAGATCTCCCATGCTCCTGGATAGGTAGGATCAACATAGAAAAATGGCAATCTTATCAAAAGCAATCTACAGATTCAATGCAATCCCTATCAAAAAAATTGCACAATTCTTCACAGACCTTCAAGGAACAGTAGTACTCAACTTTATTCTGCCGGACAGCAGTCCCAGGATAGCCAAAACAACACTGTACAATAAAGGATCTTCTGGAGGCATCACCATCCCCAATGTCAAGCTCTATTATAGAGCTATAGTCCTGAAAACAGCTTGGTATTGGCACAAAAATAGGCAGGTAGACCAATGGAATCCAAATGAAAACTCTGATAGTAACCCACTTACCTATGAACACCTGATTTTTGACAAAGAAGCTAAAGTTATACAATTGGAAAAAAGAAAGCATCTTCAACAAATGGTGCTGTGGGTGCCTTCATCCATTAAAAATACGGATTCATAATAGGTCATTTCCACAATGCCATTGAAGCTACATATGTTTTAATATCATTTTCATGAAGTTTCCTTTATTTTATACACAGCTAAACTATCAGGGACCTCCTGAAACTGAGAAGCTTCTTACTGACACAGTAAGAAAAAACGACAGCCCACAGAATGGGAAAAGATCTTCACCAACCCCACATCTGACAGAGGGCTGATCTCCAAAATATACAATGAACTCAAGAAGCTAGCCACCAAAACACCAAACAATGAAATAAAATTATTGGGAGCAGAACTAAATAGAGAATTCGCAACAGAGAAATCTGAAATGGCTGAAAGACACTTAAGAAAGTGCTCAAAATCATTGGACATCAGAGAAATGCAACTCAAAACAACTCTGAGATACCACGTCACACCTGTCAGAATGGCTAAAATCTAAAACACCAATGACAGTCCATGCTGTTGAGGATGTGGAGAAAAAGGAACACTCCTCCATTGCTGGTGGGAGTGCAAACTTGTAAGACCACTTTGGAAATCAGTATG